AGGGCCGATAACTTCATCCAGAATAGTACAGTTAAAGGTGGTTCCACGCAAAAATATTCAGAGTGTAACAAAGCATGTGTTGCTGTTCATCTGAGGCTGGATTTACGTCATTTTAAAACTCCACCAGTAACTCTGCAATTTTTGTTTTTAATGTGATGTAGTCGGTAAAAAGTCCAGGTCTACATCTGCTCACTAATAGCACACATTTGATGATGCTAAATTAAAAAAAAAGTTTTTGGAGAAAAGAGCAGAACCACAAATACCTTCACCAACTGAATGTGTGGATTATTTTCCTTTGGTTTTCCACTCCCTGTAGGTTCTGTGTGTGAAGAACTTGAGTACACAAGCATCAGTCGCCCAACTGGTGGAGCTGTTCTCCAGGTTTGAGAGGAAAGGCGGGCCTCCGGTTCTCTACCGCCTGCTCACAGGAAGGATGAAGGGTCAGGCCTTTATCACGCTGCCAGGTGAGAAACGGTGGTTAGATAATAAAGAAAAGCAAAGCGTTACTTTTGAAGCAGAGCGCTTCCTGTTGGGAATCCACGGTGGGGTGGTAGCTTGCCGTTCTCCATGGGTCCACACATGTTCCCTCCAGGTCCCCAGACTTCTTCCTATAGCCCAAAAACAAGCATGTTAGGTGGATTTGTTGACTCAAAATGGCCCCTTGAGGTGTGAATGTGAGTGTGTGGACGTTGTCTGGGGTGTGTGTGCCCAGTGACGGAGGGGACAGGCTCCAGCCCCTATTGGACATTTCCAACTTGAGCTTTTCTATTTCCTGCTAAACAGTTGAGATATTCACCTATATACTCTAATGCCTAACGCCCACTCTGATATCTCTTAGTGCCGTCTTCACTTTGCTTTTGGCCATATCAGGAGATTGGTGGAGCCTCTTGTTGTTTAGCGCAGTCTTAAAAGCTGAATGAAGCTAGATGCTATTTGCAATAACAATGACAAGCAACACCCTTCATAACTGGTAGAGTGACTGAGGTGGCCCCCATGGGGGGGGCATGGGACTTTATTAAACAAATGAGCTGGTGATCAACAGCAAAAACCCTCCAGTAGCATTTTTAATGTGTCGTTTAGTAGTTAACTTAGATCTATTGGAGGAAGATGGATGGATGGGTCATAACATTTTCTCTAGACGTGTAGATGAAAAGCAGGCACACCGTTTTCACTAATGATTGTGCACTAATGGGATCTGTTTCCATTCAGTCATGTCCTGAGAGACAATCGGTGTCAAACATCACAAAATTGAGAATCAAATCTGCGATTTCTTATGTAAAACATGGACTAGTCGTTCATAGCCACCATTAAAGATCTCTTTCTCAGATACTGTCAGAAACCCTCTGTGGGCTTTTCCACCTCCTGCTTTATGTATTATGTGACCAGTGGAATCAGAGAGAGCAAAAAAGTGTTCCATTCCCCACAGTATTCCTCCTCAGAGGATTCAGCTCTCCTCAGGTTGTGAAGGCTGGATGAAGGGGTCGATGATGCTGATTGGCTTTCATTATTTCTGGTAGCTTGTAAGTTACAGCCTTCTCAGTAATTCCCAGGAAAAAAGGGACTCATTTCTGTGGAGTGTTGAATCAAGGCATTTTATCTTAGTTCAATGTTATGTTTATTATGACTGGAACCTTATGGCTGATATTCTAAATTCTGTCACAACACCACTCAACGGAAACATTACTTGGAAGTATTATGTGTCAATGAGCCGTTCAGGAATGTTTCGTTGCCTTTATGAACGAGGCTTTAAATGTGTTTGTTTCCTTTTGCAGACACTGAAATGGCCCAGAATGCCTTAGGGCTGGTACACGGATACCGGTTGCTGGGGAAACCTTTGGTGTTGGAGTTCGGTCGGGAACGACAGGAAGAGAAAAAGCTGGAAGAAAGAGAGAAGGATGAATAAAACAGAAGTATTTGTTGTCAATAGCATGTTATTTAAATAAAAAAAATTGAGATAAGGGAAATGTGTGCTCTTTATTTTTCCCAACACTTGAAAAGTGTTATTTTTAATGTATTAAAATTGAATTATACCTCAAGTAAGGAAGCTTTCTATTCTTAAAACAGCAAAGTGCATCACACCAGAGATCCTAAACTTTTTCTCAAAGATGTCATTTCTTTCGTTCTACTTCTAAAATCAAGTTTTTTGTGAAGCTAAAGAAAAAAACTAAAACTTTTCTCTTTACATACATGATTTATAACATTTAATTATCAATGACAACAACATTGCAAACAGAAATAATATAAAGAAAAGAGAGAAAACAGTCAGATGGAAGGCTCTGTGAGCCGTCGACGTGTTGGAGACACGTAGGAGGCAGTTTACACCTTTTTGGTCTGTTCAGATCCCCATCCCGGTGTTCCAGAAGGACATCCCCAGACCTGTTAGTCTCTAAACCACTGTGTGGGGGACGGGCCCCCCCGTATCTAGCTGTTTGTCTCTCAGTATGAGAGCACTGAAGAAGTCCAGAATCGTGATTCCCAATAAGAACCGGGGACACCCAGATAAGCTCACGCAGCAGGTGCAGAATGGCGTGTTCCCGTGAGATCCCCATAGGAAAAACTGCAGGGGACCAGGATCCTGCATCCTGTAATCTCACGCAAGGAACAAGGAGTCTCTGCTGGGTCTTCATTATGTGAGAAGTCAAAGCTACTGGTGAGTCGTTGGCCTCCCCTGGCTGGCCTGATTGGGGGGCCCTTTGGAGACATGAAGTCTTCCCCTGACCCGTTTTTTTTCCTCCTGAAGACTCGTTTTGAAAAGCCTCTGAAGAGATGCTGATGATTCATCCACACAGCCCCTCAGAAGCTTTGGACACACCCCCTCTGCTCTGGGCCTGCTGCCCCCCCCACTGATTCCAGCCTGGATTCAAAAATGGGATGTGAACACAATTTTTTAAAGTGGAATTTCACTGACACCCTAAAATAGATCATCTATTTTAGTTAAAAAAAATTAATTCACAGTGGTTTTTACTCACTTTTTCCTCCATCCATCATCCTCTCCGACAGCGGGGGTCCCGTTCTGTGATGGGGGGCTGACTGTGGTGGGAGGTGTGTTTTAGGCAACAACAATGTGCATGCTAACAGTTTGTGCAGAGCTGTTTTAATGGGGGGGTGCACACGTGAAAGATTTATCTCTGTAAGATTAAAACTAACTTCAGTCTTCCAGCATCCACCGTGTATAATGGTCCATTCATGGGAGAAGTAATTATTTATTTTTTGTTGTAGGTATTTTTATTTGTTTATGCTTTCTAATGTATTTTAGGTTATGGCTTGTTTGTACTATAAGTAAACTTCCTGGTGAGAAGCTTGTGTATTTATGAAAAAGATTCATAATTTTTGTGTGTCTGAAATGGCTTCACTTGTCTTGTGTTTTTATCAAACAAATATTTAACTTTTTATGTAGTTACTTTTATTAAATGTCATTGCCTTTTTTTTGTTACAGATGTTTTTCTCCTTTTTGTTTTTATTCCCCCTTGTAGGAGTCTAATTCCATATTTGATCCTTTATCAGGATTGTTGTTGTTGGTCCTAGATAACATTTCGTTTTCAAATGGAGCTTGTGAGTTTCTGTGGGTTTAGTGATTGTGTTTTTTCTTTTTTTGGATGTATAGTGAGCGTGCATGTGATCATAGTTCACTTCCATGTAATATTTGCCTTTCACACGTGTGCTGTGTGAATGACTTATCTCAACTACGACTGCCTGGGATCTGAAGTGTTTAGGTTTGATTTTTTAAACATGCAAAGTCACATTCACTTTATACTTGCATTCAATTTGACTTCATCCACTTCATAAATGAGCAACGGCCCAATAGGAAGGCACATTATGTTTACTCACACCTTCACAAAAGTGAGCTAATGAAAATAATGACTCTAGTTTAAAGTAATCTGTCACATACTCCATCTTTGAATCTGCTTTAAGAACTGCTGTGAGTTTTAAAAGCAGATATAAAGATGGAGTCTGCAAATGCACATAGAACCCAAAACCCACTTTAAAGTGGAACCTGTACCATATATTTTGAGCCAAAAGAAGATAAAAACATCACAGAATTGATAAGACTGATTCTCTAAATTCCACATGCGTTTGTCTGTGTTTTTTCTGTATCACTAAGTGAAATATTTGTCTAGTGTAAAGCACCTGCTGATCGGCCAAAAGCAAGGCCAGAGTTTGTTCAGTTCTGTTTGTGTTGATCTCTGTTTGCCACCAGTTCAAGGCTGCAATCCTTTTCTCATCCCAGATAAAAAGTCACAAAAAAACTGCTCTTTAACCACTAATGAGACTCATTCTGGTGCTGTACTTAACGTTTTACTTTTCATGGGATCACCTGTAAAGTAAAGCAGATAAGGTCACAATAACACAAAGTATTTCTGGTGACAAACATTTTATAACGATGAGAGTAAATCAGGGACGATAACTGTAAATAAAAATGATGCGTGTCAATTTATACATACATAACTTCACGGGCTGATTTAGCAGGAATAAAAAAAACAATCAAAAACTGATATAAAAAAGTTCATATTTATTTCCCCCAAATAAAAGAATAATTTTTTGAGCCGTTACACTGTTTATACCTGTTAGTTACATTGATCTCATTTTAAAAAAAGCATTTGATTAAATGAATGGGAATTAGTTAAACATCCAGCTCGATAAGGAACGCTCTCCAGGAGGTAGATGTGTCACAGTCCAGGTGTTCCACAGGAAGACCCCACACCTCACTCAGCCTCAGCGGGGGGCAGAGTGGTGAGGACAGAAAGACACTGAGTCAAAAAGCAGGAGTTCTGAGACAGGATTCTCCGGCCTAATCGTACTGTACTAATACTACCGGGTGCTAATGTCACAGTGGAGCTGGGCCAGGGGGCAGAGGGTTTGGAGCCGGCATGAGCTAAAGCAAACAACATCACGTGTAAAACTGTGGTGGGTTTAAGTGGTCATTCCAGGGGTCACTTAGTGTCACAAAGGACTTGACAAAAAACAGGAGTCTCAGGAGGAGCTCTAAAGTATGTACGATATAGATATATCATATCATATATTATATTAGAGAATTATGATGAGTGTATTGTCTGCTCAGCTTTAGCCAAAGGCTAAAAAGTCGACTTGATTAATTTTACATTGCAGATTTGATAACGACACAAATATTTTGTGGAAGCATCCCAAGAGTTTTTGAAGGTAAAGAAGTGTAATTTGCGAAAGCAAATATTAAGTGGTTCGAAAATGAAAGCGAAAAAGGTGAAATCAAGCTAAGAATCTGCACAGGATGTCTGCAATTTTACTTATGCTTTCCAAAAAAATTATTTGATCTTTGATGGTATCAAAATAGTTTTGAAGCTTTAGTGTATTTCTTTGTTGTTGTCTGTTTAGCCCCTGAAACTCCACCAGATTTGCCTGTGTGTATTCAGAAGGGAGGACAGGGATAAGTCATCTATCTTCAGATGTGTGGGTGTTGTGTTTAAGGAGTGGTGGGGGGCCGTCAGACGTATCCCGTGATGTCGTACCCTGCCGCGGTGGGTTTGTTTGCCCCCCCCGGGGTCCTGTGGGGGTTGGACCCGGAGCTGCCGCTGCCGCTGCGGACCAGGGTCTGGGCCCTGCTGCCCCCCCCCTGCAGCGCCGGGTTCCGGTAGGTCTGGGACGTCGTCCGGACCCCCGTGCCGGACAGGCCCACCCCCGGCGGGTACGGGTAGCGGCCCCCGTGGCGCCCCCGGCCGCTCTGGTCCTCGCAGCAGGACGTGCACAGCAGCCCGCCCCCCAGCATGGAGATGATGGCGGAGGCCAGGCCCAGGTACAGGCACTCCCCGATCTCGAACTTCATGCTGGACGGTATGTTGGTGTGGTAGAAGGTCCGGACCACCTCGTGGGTGGTCCACGCCACGGGGATGAGGGCCAGGAAGCCCGCGCCCACAAACAACCCCCCACTGGTGCCGGCCACGCGGCCCTTCACCGGCCCCGAGCCCTCCAGGCACAGAGTGCACTGCATGCCCAGCGCCGCCATGGCAACCGCCAGGATGGACACCACCAGGGACATGACCATGAGGGCCCTGGAGGCCTGCAGGTCGGAGGGCAGGGCCAGCATGGAGTTGTAGGTCTCGCACTGGAAGGCCCCCGTGCTCTGGTAGACGCACTCCATCCAGAGGCCCCTCATGTTGGCCACGGCCGTCACGATGTTGGAGCCGATGTGCGCCGAGATCTTCCAGTAGGGCAGCACCGTCGCCACCAGGGTGCCCAGCATCCCAAAGATGCCCAGGAAGAAACCCATGAGCTCCAGGGCTGCCGACGCCATGGCCAAAACACAAAGGTGGGGTCACAGAAAAAGCTTTCGTCTAGCAGGAGGATCTGTGGTGACAAAAAAGCATTGCAGATGTTCCACAGATAACTCAGTTTATCTGACAAAGACTGTACAGAAAACCACACGATAACATTATACAAATAAACAACTAATGAGCAACTTGGCAGCTGGTTATTAACAGCTTTCAGAAAATTGAGTCCGGTTGAACACTAAACTGAAATTAGAATTAAACACTTCGTATTCAATATGAGCAACTGTCAAATGCTGAAAGGCTTTTTAAAAATCCCTTAATTCAGAAACAGGCAAAGAAAACCCCACTTTAGTACAAAAGTGTAGCTCCATAGTCAAATTTTCAAAGTGTTGTCTGCAGATTAAGTCTGTCATCAACCGGAACAATATGAATGAAAACCCTCATGAATAGAAGTTTTTCTAAAGAACGAACAAAAATACACTGTCAAATCTTGATACAAGATGCATTTGTTTTGACCGTTTTGATTAACTGTATGAACTAAAATAAAGTAAAAATAAAGTATAAATACATATATATATAAATGTTTAAGCTAAGTTCAGCACATCAAAACAAGTCATTTAAAAATTCTTGGAACTTGGAATCTTTTTTCTTTTAGCTTGCTGTCTATTTATCACGATAAATAAGAAAACGTTGGTTATTATGGTGTATATCCATCTGGATATGAACAACGTAAGTTACTTAAATTTAGAATACTGCTTAAAGTATCATGAACAAAGTAGTTTTGGATCATATGTATTTCCTTCAGTAGACTGATTTTGGAAACATAACAAACTATAATTAGCTTCCACGGTCATTAGACGTAAAAGTAGTTCCATTTAAGTTCTTTGTTTGAGTGCTCTACAGCCTCGTACCGCTGGCTTTTTTTTGCATCAGCAGGACGTTTCCATCTCATGGAAAGCTCTGATCATGAGGATGAAATCTGTTTTCTGTAGGATTTAGGCTAACTCTGGTCATCTTCATGTAGGACACCTGTCTTTAGTTTAGTCTGACTACAAAGAATGCAACAGTTTTTCTCAGAATATTTCATTTTGGCTTTTTCAATTCAGCATCTTATTGACTTGGTTCAAAAACCAAGTCCAATAACTTGTTTTTTGGTTAGGAGACATCCACAGATATCTATCAGACCCTTAAAGACTGCACCGGTCTTACCGCCCTACTGGCGGCTTTAACAGAGTCCAACATGAACTGTATTGTAGTCATAACTTGTCTCCTATAAAAATAAAGCAGCATTTACCCTTAAACGTGTTGCCTGAGCGTTGTGCAGGTGGTGGAGGGTCCAGGTGATGGATTGGCTGCAGATTTGGTGCGGTTTCCTCGGCTGTGGAGCAGTGAGGAAGAGGTGGAGGATGAGGTGGAGGATGAGGAGGAGGATGAGGAGGAGGATGAAGAGGCCGGGCTCACCTCTGGTTCAGGAGCAGAATCTGAGCTCGCTCAGACTCCGGGTTCTCTCTCAGACCTCAACATAGTTCAGCTGTCATTTAGCCGTTACACGTTTTAAAGGCACTTGGCGGATTGGAGCCACGGGAGCCAGAAAAGGTTTTAGGGAATAGAGAGGTTTGAGTTGAGAGGCTATCTACACACAGCCAGCCTTCTAACACACGCTCTCTCTGGGGCTGCGTCTCATCTCCGTCTCAGTCTGAGCTTCTGCTCTCTTTGTTTGAGCGTGCGGTTTCTGTCCTGCTCCCAGACCTTCACCTGCTGTCCTGTTTGCTCAGCGGCAGAACATCCCTGTGGCCCACATCCCCGCCGGCTGTCCGGTTAATCATTCCCTCATCTGTCACTTCTCCAAAATAAGACCTTTGGTACACTGTTGGCAAGAATTTGACCCAAAAACAGAACAGTTCAGTGGAGCCCTGTGAGAGAGGAACATTTTTAGAGCGTTAGATTTCAGTATGAGAGGAAATAATTCATATCGACAAATTAGTCATTTTTAAAATTTCCTGTGAAAAATGTGTTGTTCTTCTCAATCAATCCTTTCATCAACTATTATATATTTTCCAAAATGAAAAAGGAAAAGGAGCAAACATTATATCTTTTTTTGTTGTTTTTGAGCATTTTTCAACTTTCTGAACATGTGCAAACAAGAGTCAATATATTCAAATCTTAGGAAAATACAATTGGAATTGGAATTGAGGTTTTTGTGTGCTGTTGTGATGTTTCATTACAAAGTTGTCTGCACAGCAGTAGTTTATTACAACCTGCCATATACACCACAAAGGTTATGAATGGAAAGGTTATTAAATGGCTATATTTGGACTAAATTCCTGATATTTTTCTTTCTATAGTCATCGTATTAACTCACATTTAGGCTATTCAGTAAAAGTTGTATTAAAAACTTTCAGGGTATTTAAGTTACAGATGTCAAAGCTGGAAACAAACTGTGGGATGAAAAATTAAAGATAATTATACAGCAAATATCTTCCAATAAGGACTAATATTAGTCTCTATAAAGAATGTGATTCATTTTTCTCTGTTTTACTTTAATTGAGATGAGAGTTTCACAAGGTTCTTTTGTAACTTTTATCTGCAGTGATTCAATTTGAAATGTCTGAAAAAACTTTTCTGGGAACCTTTAAGACTCCATAGACAACAAAGTATGGAAGTATGGATTTTCTACTCCAGGCTTATGCAGCACCCTGAATTCACAGTTTATTAAATGCCATCTACTAAAAGAAAAAGGTTAAAAAAGACAATACGTACCATGTCAATGGATCCCGTGATGGCAGACAACAACTTGCCTGCCTTTGTTGGTCAGTGTCATGGAACCTTTTCACACTTGTCATCAGGGTGTAGATTGGTTCTACGTTGTACCATTACTCAGTTAGTTTGTGGTTCTCTCCTGTAACTTGAGTTTTTGGTTTCTAATCCTTCCCCCGGCCCTCACATGGCCGCAGCATCATAATGGGATTAGGGTGTAATCCCGTTACTTCCTCTCCAAAGCAGACTGAGAGGGCAATGTCCACCCCCTGAAACACTAAGCCACTATTATACGCCACAGAGAGGCTTTATCTGGACACGCTGCATATTAATCAGTCTGCACTGGCCAGCTTGTGACCCTTTTGTTTTATTGTTGCTGCTTGCTGGTCATCATAAACTATGAATTGCTCACAGATCAATGTCTTTGTCTTGATCCTGTTCACTAAAGATTCTTTTTTTGGTCTATGCTTTCATTGCTCCAGAGTTACGTACATTTTTTAATATTAAGGTTGTTATTCGACCTGAGGATAGAGCACCACAACAGGCAGGTAGGATTCAGGATTCAGGATTCAGAATTCGACCCACAGAAAAGGCTTCAGACAAATTCTGAATTTCTCTGTGATGCAAATCAGTAAGACTCCCAACTTTTAGCTTGATGCACGTTGTTTTTTCATTTCTCTGTTCTCTGTCTGAAATGCATTGTTTTGTGTATTTCAGCTATTCCTCAGAAAGCACTTCCTGCTGGCAGAAGATCAGGGCAGGGAGGCTCACTTTCTGGTACCAGATGGTCGGCGCGTGCAACAAAAGCCCTGTGTCACAACGACATCGGCATCCAGAACCAGAGATGTCCAGTAACGAAGTAGAACTACTTAAGTTCTGTACTTAAGCACCAAAATGCAGTTTCTGTACTTTATTGGAGTGTACGTTTTTTTCCCTACTTTTACTTTTACTCCACTACATATTTTGGATTAATTTAATACTTTTACTTTTACTTTCACAGGCTGAATCGTTACTGGTTACTGATATTTAAACGCAATGAATCATACCCAGTCATAGAGTCAGAGCCAGAGCTGGAGATATCTTTGTCAGGGTTTGGGAAGCAGGCTCCTCATTGGGAAATTTGAGCCATCAAGCATAGCCGAAAAAAAGAGCTTCCCAAAAGATTGCAAAATTATATGTGACCTACTGGGGGAATTCCCAGTAGCTGGTTAGGAGACAAACCTGGTTAGGTTGACCTGGAGGCCGTGGTTAGCCTGTTGATGGAGCAGCTTGATGCCTCATCTTGATGCTTCTGTTCCATCTTAAGGTTTTCCACCAGGCTTAACTCGCCCCTCTGGCCTTTGGAGATGTTTTATTTGTGTTTTGTTTTCTGTTTTTTTTAAACACCTGTATGACCTTTCACACTTTTGAAATAATATAAACAATATCTATCAAACCTTTGACTGCCTTTTTTAATATACACGGTACTTGTACTTTTACTTATACTTGTACTTTCAATACTTGAGTAGCAATTTTTGAAATACTTCTTCTCTCAATACTTCTCAATGCTTCCCTCTGAGAGTCAATGTTAATCATTGACACTATCCACCTCTCTTTTTGACCTACATATACACATATTGTTTCTTATGTATATATCTAGCTATATTTATGAGGAATTTTGTATATATATATGTATATATGTATAGACATGTGCATATGTATATGCCTTTGTTTAGCTTATGGAGCCTGTAACAAAAATAATTTCCCTCTGGGATTATTAAAGTATTTCTGATTCTGATTCTGATTCTGATTCTGAAGTACAAAAAAAATTGAGTACTTCCACTTAAGTATGGTGTTGAAAGAACACTTCAACTTTTACTCAAGTCAATTTTTTTATATAGTACTTGTACTTGTGCTTCTACTCCGATCTTCTACTCCAGTACTTTATACATCTCTGTCCAGAACATGCTGTTGTTGATGATGAGCATCTTAACCGGAGCAAAAGAGAGAAGGTGAGGGTGCTGGACAGAAAGAGGAACAAACTGGAGATTGGATTTAAGGTGCAGCGTGTGGGATGCCGTTCTCCAGCGTTTCCAGAGGGTCAGCTCTGTACTACAGGCAGAGGAGTCTGACCCGTGCAGTGCTGTGGGTCTAGTTCCATCACTGGGGGGCTATGTTGCCGGTTTATGGACTCAGTTAATAAGCTTTGAGACAGCTGCTAACAAAATGTCCCCCACTATGTCCAAAGTGCATAAAGTAGATTGTAAAAGATAAAAGAAGAAGCCAG